CCCACTAGGGGCAGACGCCGCGCCGACCGACTCAAGACCAAGCAGGTCGGCAGCAGCAGCAGAGGCAACAGAGGGCAGCAAGGGGGAAGGAGAGCACCCCTCAAAGATGGGGGTGCGAGGGTCACCACGAGAAGCACCTACAGCGACTATGCTCTTCTCCGCTGCAAGGAGGGACTTCTCGAGGAGGTCGACGGTGAGGGTGGTGGGACAGACTGCGAGAAAGTGGTCCCTGACTACGCGAAGGGAGTCAGGGAGGCGCGCGACTACGTAGTAGAGAGCGATGTACATGGGGGGGGGGTTCTTAGCGCAGAACTCAGCAGGAAGGGCGGCGCGGTAGCGAGTGTCACTAGTGCGGAGGTGCGTAATGAGGTCAGCGACAGTGGGAAAGGCAGAGAGGTCAGGAAAGAGGTAGGGAAGCATGAGACGGCTCAGTGCAGCAGTGGCAGGGGAGGAGTAGCGCGCAACTACAGCGTCGTACAAGGTCTGAGCACTCTTGTACTGACTAAAGTGCGCACGCTCAGAGGTAGGGAGGTGGCGACGCACAGCAAGACGTGCAGCAGCATCGCGGGTGGCCCACTTAGAGCGGACAGCGGGATCAGCATCAGCAGCAGGAGCAGGAGAGGCGCCAGAGGTGAGGTCAAAGAGAGAAAGGTCGTCAGCCCTGTCGCACTGTAAGTACAGCTGCAGGTCGTCTAACCAGACCTCAAAATCAATGGCGCGACCCTCAGCGTCAAAAGCTAGGACACTAGGGGTAGCCATGGCGACGACAGCGACGCAGTGCAAGCAGTAGGGAAAGAGCTCGCAGTGGCAGTGGGACTGTGCTCACCAGGCAGGGCAGGTCGAGTAGGGATGCAGAAAGGCGGCTCAGCGACCTGGCGGTTGGGTGCTGGGCGGCTCGGGCGCAGGGCGGCTCGGCTCCCGGGCGGCTCGGCGGCAGGGCAGCTCGGGGGCAGGGCGACTCGGCTCCCGGGCGGCTCGGCGACAGGGCGGCTCGGGCGGCTCGGCGACAGGGCGGCTCGGGTGCAGGGCGGCTCGGCTCCCGGGCGGCTCGGCTGCAGGGCGGCTCGGCTCCCGGTAGTAGGGGGGGGGGGGGCCGCGGTCGAGCAGGCGGCCGGGGCCGCGGTAGTAGCTGGCGGCGAGGCCGTGCGAGCAGGCAGCCGGGGCCGCGACAGGAGCGGGCGGCGGGGCCGCGGTCGAACAGGCGGCTGGGGCCGCGGTCGTAGCAGGCGGCCGGGGCCGCGATCGTAGTGGGCGGCGGCCGCGGCGTAGCGGGCGGCAGGGCCGCGTCGAGCAGGCGGCTGGGGGCTGCGTCGAGCAGGCGGCTGGGGGCCGCGACAGGAGCGGGCGGCGGGGCCGCGGTCGAACAGGCGGCTGGGGCCGCAGTCGTAGCAGGCGGCCGGGGCCGCGGTCGTAGCAGGCGGCGGCCGCGGCGTAGCGGGCGGCAGGGCCGCGTCAAGCAGGCGGCTGGGGGCCGCGTCGAGCAGGCGGCTGGGGGGGGGGCCGCGACAGGAGCGGGCGGCGGGGCCGCGGTCGAACAGGCGGCTGGGGGCCGCGGTCGTAGCAGGCGGCCGGGGCCGCAGTCGTAGCAGGCGGCCGGGGCCGCGGTCGTAGCAGGCGGCGGCCGCGGCGTAGCGGGCGGCAGGGCCGCGTCAAGCAGGCGGCTGGGGGCCGCGTCGAGCAGGCGGCTGGGGGGGGGGGCCGCGACAGGAGCGGGCGGCGGGGCCGCGGTCGAACAGGCGGCTGGGGGCCGCGGTCGTAGCAGGCGGCCGGGGCCGCGGCGTAGCGGGCGGCAGGGCCGCGTCGAGCAGGCGGCTGGGGGCCGCGTCGAGCAGGCGGCTGGGGGCCGCGTCGAGCAGGCGGCTGGGGCCGCGTCGAGCAGGCGGCTGGGGGCCGCGTCGAGCAGGCGGCTGGAGCCGCGATCGTAGCGGGCGGCTGGGGCCGCGACTTAGCGGGAGGGAGGCGACACGGAGGGTCGCTCGATAGCGGAAAAAAAAAGGTTGAGCGCGCCTCGGGGCGCGCTTCGGTGGGCCCTAGGCAGAGTTCCACAGGGAACCCGCTCTGATACCATGTGAAATGTGTAAGCAGGAATGGGAATGACTAAGTCAGAGTTGGGTACAAATACAACCCTAGAAAACTGTACCCCATATGTGCTACCCCACTATAGCCTACAAACATGCATCAGCTATGATAATCTGACACACACCCGTCACCGCACACCTACTGTTGCCAACCGACTGGTACATCAGCCCTTCGTTCCACGTCAGCCTACTTCGCCCATACATCCCGACCACAAGTCAACTGCCGCGTCACCGGCCACAATCAATGACTCGCCCTGCATCAGAGCCGATCATCGAGCCCGAAAAAAATCTGAGCCATCGGATCCGCCACCCCACGGGAATCAGGAGGATTGAATTCCTCGTTCGCTGGAAAGACCGCACGCCAACTGAAGATAGCTGGGTGCCCCTGAGCAACATCGAAAATCACCCTGCCCTGCAAGTGTACCTGAGGAGCCGGGGATTCCGCGATATACACGCACTCGCGTAGCGGAGGGGGCTTCTTGAGGGGGGGGGGTAGTGTAAGGAATTTTCTCGGCATTCCTTACGGAGCCGACTACATCGCGTACAGCAACAGCCGATTGTTCGCCCGTTACTGCTAACGGAACTTCGCCGACTTCGCGCGCACTGTTTTACCAAACCTCGCACTGCTGGCATGGCCGTATCGGCCTACGCTTCGGGACTAGCCCGAGCCTCGCTCCAGCGTAGCACTAGCAAGCTCGCACGCACCGCGTTACCGTTTTGCATGTTTCGCGTATAAATGTTCGCTCATGCCTTCGCTCACATTTTGTACTCGTTTGACACCTTAGTGCAATTCTCGCTACCTCGATTCATTGCACCCGTAACAATATCCTTTAAAAAACAAAAACAGCATGTTTCTTGGACTCAAAAAGGGAAAGCAGCAAGATCATATGTCCCAAGGACGCGATCGCAAAGCGGTGTGCTGTCAAAACCACTGCCGTAAGGAAATGGAAACAAACAAACAGGGCGATTCGTTGTTTCCTCCTCCATCGCGCGACCCCCAGCGTTCGTCCGCAGCGGAACGCCGACCCATAGCGGCGCCCAACGATAGACCAGCCGAACGCCACCAGAACGATGATGGGAGCGAAAACGAGCAGAAGAATGACTACGGCGAAAACACGCCACTGCAGTGACTCATTCCGAACAGAGAAACGCGCGCCCTATCCCTCTCTTTGCGAGTCGCGACGCGCTAAAACTCGCTCTAATTTCGAGGGCGCGCGAATCCCACCACGTCGCGATCTAAACTTAAACCGCTCCTACCTTAACTCCCTCTCCCGTCGCCCTACATGTCTTTCAAGAAACCACGGCGTCAGTCCCTGGTCGCATGTTCCACATGTATCGAATGTCAGTCCAGCCAGACGCTGGTCGCTGGTAGTTCTGCCGGAAACCGCCATATTCGTACCGGAATAAGCACCCCGTGTCGCGATCATCCAGAGAAATCTCATGGCTATAGTAGACGTGGCGCGGCGGGAGCAGACTCTCCGCGGCCCGACTCCTACTGGTAGCACAGAAGTCGTCGCTTGCGATCGTAATCGTAATCTCCTCCTAGAGATGTCTCAACATCCTGCCGCCGCCGCCGCCGCCGCCAGCATTGCGCACCGCGCTCACGCGCCCGCCGCCATTGCTACAGTAACGGTCACAAACCGCCGTGCCGCAGCTGGATCTGCCTCGGGTTCTGCCGCGTCGCCGGCCTCCCTGGTGCTGCTACCGCCGCGCCCTAATAAGCGCGAGCAGCGCTCGCACGCTCCCGCCACTGCCGCGACTCGACCTATCTCTACGGCCAAAGGGAGTGTTATTGCCACTGCCAGCGGCACTACCAAAGTTTTTTCCACCACAACTAGCGCGGACAACCCCCGTTATCCGGGAAAACAGGGTAACCTCGCGAACCAAGGTAACCCAAACCTTGGCAACCCAAACATTGGGAATCCCGGTGACGGCAGCAGGAGCTCCTCCTCCCCTGCAGAGCGCGCCTTCCGCGGCGTTTCCCCTATGAAGGCGCGGGGAAGGCGGCTGCGCGCGTCGCTGGGGGACAGCGCTCACCTCCGCTCGCTCGCTCGCCGCTCCGCCGCCGCTGCCCTGGCCGCCGCTGCGGACACCCCGCCTCCCGCGACTTGCGGAGACGAAGGGGGGAAGGTCGGGGAAGACGGGAAAGGTGGGGAGGTTGCGCGGAGGGATGGGCAGGAGGAGAAGCAGGATCATCCTGAGTCGGATCCGGAGGAGAGCTGTGTGGTGGGCCAGGGGTGTATTGCTCAGCACCTGTGGGTACAAGAACCGACCCACACGAGCATTTCGCCAATTTCGCATGGGCGAGTGAAAAGCGGCAATGTCAGTAGTGGCAGCAGCGGTTACAGTGGGAATTATGTCGGCAACAGCAGCAGGAGTGAAAGCAGCAGCAGCAGGGGTGACAGCAGCAGCAGCAGGGGTCATCGCAGTGCGGAGTTCAGCCGGGTGACGTCTGGCCGTCCTCCGCTCCCATCGCCTCCCCTATCGCCATTCTCCCTCCTGCGCCTCTTACGACGGTCGGCCAGCGCATCAGAAACGAGAGACCGAGCCGCTTCTGCTGCTTCTGCTGTAGCAGCCACTTCAGCTGCTACTGCTGCTGCACCATCGTGTGCAGCAAGTGCGGCAAGTGCGGGATTTAGGGGATGTGCAGTATGCGATAGTGAGAGAGCAGGAAAGGGACCGCGTTTTATTATGAGAGGAGTGAGCAGAGGCAGCAGCAGTGGTGGTGGTAGCAGTAGCAGCAGGAGAGGGAGCAGCAGCAGCAGCAGCAGCAGCAGCCATGCAGTTGCCAGTGCCAGTGACCACAAGAACAGCACCAGAAGCAGCAGCCACAGCAGAAAGCGTAGCACGTCTCATCCGAGAATATCAATTGTGGTCAGTTCTCCTACCACCGCTTGTGTTAATTCTATCACCGCCCCACCCATGCGGTTTCCTCCCCCCTCGGCTTCTGCTTTCGCAGCAGTAGCAGCTTCCCCCGAATCCCTCCTTCTCTTGGACCCTGCCACGTCACAGGTCCTTGCAGCCAGCTCAGCAGCTGCTGCAGCGCTGGGAATGACACGTGGCGAGTTGGAAGGAGTGCGGTTCGTAACTCTGCTGCATGGTGTGAAGGAAGACGCATGGGTGCAAGCGCTGGGAGCTGCAGTGCTGACTAAAAGCCTTGCAGACTCGGTCAGAAATGCTCTTGGCGACGGTAATGCAACACAATTCAGCAGCAGTGGGGCCGGTAGTGCTGGCGCTGCTAGCAGCAGTGGCGATGGTAACGGTGGCGCTGCCGGCTTTATTACTCTCAGGTCCGTTCCTTATTAGTCTGGCTTGCCTGTTTTCCTGCTTGGACTTTCTTCCTTGCTTCTCCTGCACCACGCATCCCTCTGTTGCATGTCAGAGACTAGTATTGTTCCGTTGTCACCCCTTGTTCCTCGAGGTCTCAGTGAGAAGAAATTCCTTCTTTCGCTACTCTGCAGGTTTCGCCTGGCTCATAGCAGCCGCCAGGGAGCTCTGGTGGGGGAGAGAGTGCGCCTGGATATCTGCCTGCCTCCCAGGCCCGCACTGCCATCCTGCACACCTGCTGCTGCTGCTGCCCCTGCTGCCGCTGGTGCTGCTGCTGCTGCTGCTGCTGCTGCTGCTGCTGCTGCTGCGCCTGCTGCTGCTGCTGATTCTAGTCCTCCCAGTCCGTCTTCCTCCTCTGGCACTTGTGCCAGTGCAGCACCTGCTCCTGCTGCTCCTGCTGCTCGACATGCTGCTCAACGGCCCGCTCCCCCTGTGGCGTCGTGCTCTTCTCTCCATTCCCCTTGTGCGGCGCTGCTTTCAGCCCCTCTCCTCGCATCCTTGCATCCTGCTGCTGCTGGCGCGTCGTCTGCTGTGCTGTGCTCTCTGAGTCTGGCTGCATTTGAGAGAGCTATGGAGGATTGTGCGGGGGCGAATGGTGGGGTGAACAGTGAAGCTAGCGGTGGTGGAGTGGAAGGGAGTGGGGGCTGCAGGGGACCGAACAGGGTTGGTGTAGCAGCAAGGGAGGGAGAGGGGATGGGTGGAATGGTAACTGGGGTTGGTGCAGTGGTGGGTGAGGGCATGGAACAGCAGGGAGGCAGGTGTGCCACTGGAGAGACAGCAAGCTGCAGGGATGGGAGTGGCATTACCAGCAGCAGGAGCTGCAGAAGCATTTCCTGCACTGACGGCAGTAGCAGCACCGGCTCCAGCAGTGGCAGCCGCAGCTGCAGCAACAGCAACAGCAGCAGCCTGGCTGATCTGAAGAGTAAAGGGGTGCGAACATGGTTCCACATGAGCAGTGCCGGCGACAGCATGAACAGTACTCGGAGGAGAACGGGCAGCTTGACGGGCAGGCAGGTGGATCTCTCCCCTCGATTCATTCATGACAGCCCGTCCCCTTCCCCCGATGCAACTCGCAGGGAAGGTGCTGTGAAAGGCAGGAGGGATGATGAGTGGGGCAAGAGAGGAATAGAGGGACGGGATGGTGAGTCTGTCGATGGATCAACTCAGAGAATGCACGGGAGAGGTGGAGGCATACCAGGCATGTGGCGAAAGGTTGTTGGGGAAAGGCAGCAAGGGAATAGGAAGGGAGAGGCCGGAAGGAGTGTGACCGGCGGTGCGTCTGACATTGTGCAGAACAGTATGCAAGCATCCTTGCAAGGTGCAGCCAGTGTTCTGCACCACAAGCAATATCTCGCTGATGGTAGAACTACGCTTTCAGCCATGCCACTTGCTAGAAGGGAAAAGCTGGCTGGTAGGAAAGGGGTTGATGTGACAAGGGTTTGGGAATACAGGGGTTCAGGAAGTGTGATCGGGACGAAACCATTGGTGTGCGTTGAGAACTGGGCAGTCTTAGAGGAGAGTGCGGACGGAAACGACATGGAATGGTTTTCTTGACCTTGTTTACCGGTACCGTATTCTCCCGGATAAAACACCCTAGGGTATTATGAAAACCACTGGAAAAAAATGGGGGGGGTCTCCTCTAAGGAAAATCCTATATACCGTATCGCCCCGGATATAGGCGCCGTCCGATTATAGGCGCTGGCGCCTCTATCTGGAGCATGGCGCTTATGGCCGGACCTCGATTAGAAGCGCCCCCCCTGAGATTTGTGTACTTATTATAAGCGCCACCATTCGACTACTTAGCTGGTTTTACATTGAAATCACATTCATAACAATATCATGACAGCAGCTACAACATCAGAGACCTGAAACAGCAGGTCTAGCAACACTAATTCTAGCTAACTAGTCTAGTCTTCGTCAGATTCGGGCTCCTGGCAGTTGTTGCCAAAAAACCCATCAGCGATGATGTCATCGTCGACGTCCACTTCCGCCGTCAGCTGGCTCCGCCTGTGCGCCATGGCGAGGCCGTCCTCACTGCCGTCGAGCGCGTTGCTGATGCCACAGGTGAGGAAGGCACGCTTTATCAGCTCGGCAGGCACTGACTTCCAGGCCTGAGATATCCACCTCAGGACGACCTCCGGAGGAGGCTTCTTCAAGTTCCCTGAAAATAACGGGAGAACGATGGAATCCCGTTAATCCAACAATACATACGGTAAGCAAAAGGAAGGGGGGTTGAAACACAACAACGCGCTCATTCCATACCTGCTGTCGTCAGCTGCTCTTGCCCTTCTGCCTCAAACCACCGCTGGTACTGCTGGCGGACCGACGCTTTGAAGCTCTTGTTGATGGAGACATCCAGGGGCTGAACCTCCGCGGTACAGCCCGACGGGATGATTGCCGGCACGCAGTTCATCTCGCGAAGCTTGTCCTTCACTTCCTGGGTGAGGTGACCGCGGTAAGAGTCGAGCACCAGCATCGAGCTCTTGGCGCATCTACCGAACCTGGGCTTCAAGAAGGGCTTGACGCCCTCCTCAAGCCAGCGGACGACACCCGCGGAGTCCATCCACCCGTTCTCGTGTGCAGCCACGACCACATCTGCAGAAAACAAGAGAAGCAGTTAGAATTCGCAGTCTGAACAAACCGCAGTTAACGAGCAGTGCACCAATTGACGTACCGGGTGGGAAATTGCCCTTTGGCACGGTCTTGCGCTTGAAGTACACCCACGGCTTCAGCTTCCGTCCGTCCGCCGTACACGCCAACATCACCGTCACACGCTGCTTCTGATACCCCGCGCTCCTGATAGGCACCGAGCGAACACCCGATTCATCCACGGTGGTGGTGGCGGACATCTCCAGCCAGAGCGGCGTCTGGTCCGCGTTGATGATCCACGCGGTGTCGATGCCGCGCTCACGACGCATGCCACGCACGAAATTCCAGAAGCTTCTGCACTGCTCCGCGACATCTGAAGGGAGGTGGAAGGCAGGACGGTCACAGATGGCGGGTGTTAGTACCGGTAAAACAAGTAAACATTAACACGGCAAAGTACATGGGGTAACTCTTACGCGACTGGGTTTTCTGGGCAACCCGGGTCTTCATGCGGACACTCAGGTTCCATCGTCGCCGAAAGCGCTCCGACCACCTCTGGCTCCCTTTCCAGGGCTTGTCCGGGTACAGCAGCTTCATGTATTCCCGCGACCACTCCTGCAGGCGGCCGACTGATACGGCGGTTCCCTTGCGGCGCCACTCGAGAAGCTTCTCGTACACTTTCAACTCCATAGGCCGATACCACGACGCCCGACCGCGGCCGTGCATGCGTTTCCGAGCGGAGTGCACGTCTTTGAGGAACTCCGCCGCCCGCTTCCAGTTCGTGAGGCACTTGGGGTGGATTCCGCTCTCGCGAGCCAAAGCGCGCACCGACGTTGCCACAGCAAGCCTGGCAACCCACTTCAACTTCTCCGCGGCGGTGTAACCTTGCCTCTTGTGCTCAGTGAGCTTGTGCCTGGGAGAGGGGGGGCGGGCATCACGAGTCTGGGAAGAGGGGTGGGGTCGCTTGCGATTCATCGGGGGATAGGAAGGTATCGGCAGGGTCTCGGGAAGCTCGTCGCGTGACCAGTACTCCACGCCGTCATCGGCATCGTCGCCGGGAACGCCTTCGGGAAAAACATCTTCAGCGGAGCCGCCCTCGGCGCCGCCCCCGCCGCTCGCTTCCGTGCCATACTCACCGCCGACAGTGCCGCTCGCTTCCTCTTCGTCAGCGTCAGCTTCGGCTTCAACATCATCGTCGGCGCCGACTTGCGATTCGTCCCACGGGCAGTCGTCAGGCTGTCCCCACCGTGAACCAGGAACGTGCTCCACTTCCACCCACTCATCTTGCGGCTTCTTAGACTCGGGTTCGGAGAGGTACTCGTCAAACGACGATGGGAGCAGCAGCATCAGCACGAGCGTTGATCCAGCGTGTAGAGGAGGCGCAACACTATGCAAGCACGGAGGAGTCGGAGGAACAGGAGGCTCAGGAGGTGCAGGAGGCGAAGGAGGAGCAGGAGGCGCAGGAGGCGCAGGAGGCTGTGGTGGCTTAGGTGGAGATGGTGGGACGCGGGAGTACCACCCGTCTTCGTCTACTCTAAACGCGGGCCTCCGTGGAGGCTTCTTCTTGAACAAGAAGTGAACCCCGGTGAATTCCGCCATAGCTTCCGCAGCATGGCGGGAGACATCAAGAACCAAGAACGAAAAACTGAAAGAAGCAATGAACAAATGAAGGATTCAAAGGGACCCCTTCTGGCTAGCGCCACGGGGTCCTCGTCGAGGAGAGACGGGTGTCCCCTGTCTGAACCCGGAGAGGAGGGTTTAGCGCCACGCACGATGCTGCGCTGGCAGGGCATGATGGCCGCTTCTAGATGGTTCGGGTGAGGATTCTGCTGCCACCCAGCACACGAAAGCCTGATTGGGCCGCTAGGCAAGTTTCGCATCAGCGCTGGCAGGTGAGCTGCTCCTGGACGGGCTTTGTGCGGTTGGAAACCGAAGCGCGTCTGTTTTCGGCGTGTTTCCATGCATGATGCCATGCGCACGTTACACAGTCTTGTTCGCCTTAATACGGGCTTCGATTTGATGCCTAAATTATGCAAATTTATTTTTACCATTATATAAGCGCCGACGCTTATGGCCATTATTCAATTACAAGCGCCACCCTTAAAAAAATCGATTTTATTATAAGCGCCATGGCGCTTATATCCGGGGTGATACGGTAATGCCCGGGTCTTATGATATGGTATATTTTTTATAAAACAGAAAAGATGTGAAACAAAATCAGGGGTCTGACTTCACTTCAAGATTGTTGATCAATGCCGCAAAACCGAGTACGAGGATATTGTGGGCCACTTGGGCCACTTCACCTCTTGGACCACTTGCAGTGGAAGATTCGTCAGCGTGGCGACAGCGAGATTTTGGGATTCACTAGCGTGGCGACAGCGAGATTGTGGAAGGGGGGATATCTCGGCTGATTCTAAGTGAAAGTACATGCGAAATTTCTTCTAGGGAGTGATTTTCGCGATATTCTCCCGTAAGGAATCGGACTCGATAACAGCTATAATAGGAATCTATAAGAAAAGGGGGGTGTTATAGAGAATCACCCCAAAAAGGGGGGTATAGTACTAACGGGGTCGGATACAACACCCACCCCGTATAAGCTACCCGGGGGTGTACAATTACAGGGGGGGTGTTTTATCCGGGAGAATACGGTAATACCGTGCGTGAAATGTAGAGACATCCTCTGGTTTTGAAGGTCGTGCCATGCCACATTTACATGCGGTATCCATACTTGGCCTTACGGTATGTTGCTGTGTCAGTAGATTCCGTGTGGGGCTTGTTGGTACCGTAGATGCATTTGAGAGCGTGTTCCTATCCTCGTATCAAGATGACCTCGTATCAGGCTCACTGTTACGAGTGCAATTGAGTGAACGAACGAGAATTGCACTATCGAAGCAAGAGTACAATGAGCGAAGGCATGAGCGAAGAATATATAGCGAAACTACAGTGGTAACGGTAATGGACTGTGGTTGTCGCGCGACGGGCCTGGGACTGAGGTTGGGAAAAGTGTCGAAGCGGAGGCCCGGAGCGCGGGTTACCCGCCGAGCCGTGAGGTCGGGGTGCGACGTGCGAAGGTGGCGGGCGGATTGTCGATGCGAGGATTGCGAGTGGGAACGGTGCTGACTGTGGTGCTACAGTGATGTACGCGTTGAGCAGGGATGCGAAGTAAGGAAAAGGAATTTTCCTTACACTACCCCCCCCTTTCTAAGGAGGTCCTCCTTACGAAAGTGCGTGTACATCCCTGAAGTTTCGGCTGCGCAGATACTCGGTGAGGACGGGGTGGTTTTCGATTCTGTCCAGGGGAACCCAATTGTCTTCGGTGGGTGTACGGTCTTTCCAGCGGAGTAGGAACTCGATCCTTCGGGCTCCTCGAGGGTCACGAACTCTGTGGCTCAGGATTTTTTCGGGGGTGATGATTGGTTCAGTCGGCGGTCGCGTCATGCTGGCTGGGCGATTGCGT